TTGAAACCACCAGCCATTTCTCAGGAAAGGAAGAGCTTTTTATTCCCATAAAGACTTACACTCTTGGAAATGCACAGGGACAATTCTACCCAGATCTATAGGGTCACTATGGGTCAGCATGGACTTGATGGCAGTGAGCTTGGTTTTGGGGTGGGAGGTGTACACTAACCAAAAACCTACTACTACTGTGGAGTCAATGTGACTCACAGTGACCCTAAAGGATTGTGGACCTGCTCCATAGGAATTTCAAAGGTCGAAATCTACCACATCTTTCTTGGTCATGGAGTAGTTGCGGAATTCGAACTACCAACCTTTAAGTTAGCAGATCAACACAATCCATCTTGCCAACATCGCCATTTCTAAGTCAACTTCAAAGTAGGGATCAGGAGGTCCAAAAGATTCCAAGTCACTCTTAGGGGGAAAGAAACGTCTAGAATCCCTGACAGGAACATTCCTGTGTTGTATCCCCCTGGTTTGGGATTTGACACTATTATTATTCAGTATGCACTCGAAAGGAGTGAGATTATCTTTTGAGCTACTAGATACTCAATCCTAAATCTTTTATGTGTATAGGTCAGATATTTCCTATAAAGAAAAACGTTATTCTTAAAGTCTTGTTCTGTGATAGCCTTTAAAAAAATGTTAATGGTTTGAGAGTTTTAAAAAAACTGTTAGTTATATCTTTCTTTTTGACTGAAAGCTCTTTTTTTCCTTTATAAATAAGTCTTTTTGTTGATCTTAGAAGAAACTAGATGCAAATTAGGTATAAGCTATTGTTATTAACAAATTGCCCTTGAAAAGAAAGTATCTTTGTTGGAGGTAAATTTTTGTATTTTAAGAAACACTCCAAAATCTGAATACCCAGAAACCAAAAAAAAATCCCTAAAACTACAGTCATCAGTCTGTTCCAATCACAGGGTGTCCAAGACTGCAAGCCTTTACGAAACCAGATAGCCTCCTCCAGAGTGGCTGGTGGGTTTGAACTGCCAACCTCGCAATCTGCAGCCCAATGCTTATCCCACAGTGCTTATCCCACAGATAGCAACTCTAAAATATCATAGTCCCTTTTGATTTATTAGTTATAATGGCAATAGTTGATAATCTCACCACAGAATCACTCTGAAAATCCCCAAAGGGTTTGCTGGATTTCATAAAATACACCTACAGGTCCATAAAGAAGTTACACTCAATATGTCAACATCTGTCATTAGATTGGCCACGGCTGTGGGAGAAGACAGTATGTTTACATATTTCCTGATACCTTAACCTCCGCTTATTTTTCCTCTGGTTGCCCACATTATACCAAACAAGTATTCTCCTAACTCCCACTTTCCCAATTAGTCTGAGTTTTGTGACATCTCTCAAATCATCTGTAATAATATGCCTTTTTAAAATAATATATACTTTTATAGATGGTAACAATCAGAATTTGTGAATATTTTCTTAAAGGTGCACAAAGTCAAACAATAGCAGAAATGGCTAAAACTCTCATTCTGGGCAGATATGAGGGGAATGTGATGGTGTAATGGTTATGCGTTGGGCCGTGATACACGTGATCAGCAGTTCAAAACCACTAGCAGCTCCTTGAGAGAAAAAGTGGGCTCTTTACTTCCATAAACAGTTTCAGTCTCAGAAACCCACAAGGCATCACTATGAGTCAGTATTGAATTGATTTAGGTTTGGCAATATTCAATGGACCCCTGGTAGTATAGTGGTTATGTTGGGCTGTGATCCACAAGATTCACTGTTTAAAACAACCAGCTACTCTGCAGGAGAAAGACGGGCTTTCTACTTTCATAGAGTTGCAGTCTCAGAAACTTATAGGGGCAGCTCTTCCTTGTTTTATAGGATCACTATGAGTCAGCATAAATAAAATGGCAGTGAGTTAATTTAGACTTTTGTTTGCTGTGGTTATTGAAGATAGCCAGGATGCAACTTCCTGGTGGATCTAATAAATTAGAATTATGTACAAGAAAGATTTTTGTTTTACAAGATTATGGAATCTGCATGCACATTTTATATAAACATTTATAAGAGAACACAAAGTTAGGTAATTTCAATTATAAAGGAAGTTTACGACATAATGTTAGCAAAAAGTGCTATGAAAAATGCAAAGCACAATTCAAATGATACAGTAACATTATCAACATCAAGTTTCAGAACTTCTCGGTCTAGGATAGACCCTTCTAACTTCTTTAGCCCTGTCCCTTTTTCAGGGGGGCGGGGGGAATAAAATGTTTGTAATATAGGCCACGTGCAGAATAAAGAGTGGGTATCTTCTACTTTGGCAGCCCCCTAGATAGTTCCAGTGCTCCCCCAGGGGTGGTTGGTATCCCCCACTTCGGAAAACACTGCCTACAGAAAGCCAATAGCCTCCTGACCTATCCATGCAGTCCCATTTCCTTAGGTCTATTTGGTGATATTGTCTAAACCTAGGAAGGTGTTAACAATAATGCTCCCCCACCCACCCACCCAAGAGGATTTTCAGATGTCTTCTGACAAGGTCATCCTCAAACCACAAGCCTCTGCTCAAAAGACACATTTTTGAGTAGATCTGACAGCGCCATGAAAGATAATCAGACAAATGCTCTAAAATCCCCCAAACAATAGAAAAGCTACCTGTGACTGCATAGAGAAGGCTGGGCATAGCGGCTAGGTGGTTTCCTCTTATCCTTCTTTGGGGGCGATTTTATAAATGATCCTGTATTATTTTGGTAAAATGTTGTGAGTGCCCTGTTCACTGCTAGCTTACCTATTTTAAAGGTATTTTATTACCTCAGTGAATCAAATGGATATTATTAAATTCGATTTTCTTCTACACACAAAGCCAACATCTGTTCACTCTATTAGGATGCTGAGAGGCCTGGGGCAGAAAAATTACAATTCCATTTCCGTTTTCTGCTATAATTCAAGTTAAGATGCCTTAAACATCCCTATATATCTCACTGTGCTTAGCCAAGAGATGGACAGTTAATCACTTATCAATGGATTAACCTTTCCATTTTTACTGAGATAAATTACCATATTCTAGCCACTAGCGATCCCTTTCTCACTTATCTCATGAAAAAGCGATGCCTTTTAAGAGTTTTCCCCAATGCAGCATCATGGCTTTGAGTAGAGCACGGAATCTGTGGAGCCAACTCCTGAGACACTTTTCTAAGGCATAATAACAGTAATTAACATACCAGGGGGCGCTGGTGGTGCAGTGGTAACCTTGTGGTTGAGAGCCACAGGTCTGCTCCTACTGCCCCTCCACAGGACAAGGATAGGCCTTTCTAATCCCCTCCAGAGTTAGTCTCAGAACTCACAGGGGTAGCCCTAGTCTGTCCGTCCTGTCTGTCAGTAATCTACTGGATGGCAGTGAGATTGGTTTCTTTGGAATAAAGCAGGAGACCCTAAGTCATGCAAATGTTAAACAATCTACAAGTTGGTGACTGAACCCACCCAGGAGTGTTTTGCAAAGGCAGGTCTGGTGATCTGCTTGGAAAGGTCGGGGCCCTAAAGCCCTATAAAGCTGTTGTATGCTGCACACCTAGTCAGCCACCTTGAGTCCGATCAACTCAACAGCAGCTGAAACACTCTTTATTCTGAAACAGGCCCCATTCTTAGCATATTTAATTAAAGTCCACATAGTGACTCAGTCCTCACAAAAGCGCAAAAACACAAACCTCTGAGGCATGTACTACCTACCCCTTTGTACACCGATAGGTTAAGTACTTTGTCCATGGTCACATAGCAGTCTTCAGCATCTGCTCTTAGACATTACTTCTCTCTGCTCTAAATTAATGTAGTCCAGTTTTAATACTAGTTCAACAAAATAAATGTGATACTCTTCTAGACGACTTTAAAAAGACCATGCAAAAATGGAATTAAAAGATCATTCTCAGTGATTTTTATTGAAAAAGACCAATATCAAAACCAAGCCCACTGCCAGAGTCAATTCCGACTGTATAGTAGCCCTTTATGACAGCAGTTCACAACCTGTGGGTCGTGACCCCTTTGGGGGCTGAATGACCCTTTCATAGGGGTCACCTGATTCATAACAGTAGCAAAATTTGTTATGAAGTAGCAACCAAAATGATTTTATGGTTGGGGAGGTCACCACATGAGGAACTGTATTAAAGGGTCTCGGCATCAGGAAGGTTGAGAACCACTGCTATTGGACCCACAACTGCGCCTGTGGGTTTCTAAGACTAACTCTTTCCTGGAGCAGAAACTTTCTCCCAAGAAGCAGCTGATGGTTTCGAACTGCTGACCTTGTGTGGTTAGCAACTCAAAATGTAACCAGGGCTTCTCTGACTGAAAAACATACCGTATGAAATCATGATATACTTTACTAAGGTTTAAAGAGTTACAAAAATATCAAGTAGCTCAGAGAGAAAAACTGTTTCTATAGCTAGATGCTTAAAGGGAACAGGATCCCTGGTGGCACAGCGGGTTAAGTATTGGGCCGCTAACTTAAAAGTCATTGGTTCAAAACTACCCGTTGCTCCTAGAGTCACAGTGTGACACACCCCATGGAGAAGTTCTACTCTTTCTCTAGCATCACTAGGAGCCAACATGGACTCCATGCTAGTGGGTGGGTTTGTTTTCTGTGTTAAAAAAATGGTAAGTATTAAGATTTACCCTTACTTCTTCGAATTGCAATGATATGGGAACTGAGTGCTACATTGTAAAAATGAAGACTGACATCCCACCAACTACAAAGAAATTCGCCCTAGTGATTGGATGGAAAACCCCTTTTTCTAGTGACATTTCAGCCTTCTCCTGCCTTCCTTCATTACACTGAATTGCTAATTACCAAAAATACTGTTGGTACAAAAATGGCATACTTAAGGATTTGACTATTTTCTTAAGTTCTCCATAGTCATACTGAAATATTTCAGATATAATTTCTGGTGGTCGCTTTTGAGTTTCTCAGTAGTGGAAACATAATGGAAATGGACACTTTACCCCACCATTTGTCATTCCATAAATTAAAGTTCAGAAGATCATAAAAATTAAATTTGAGAATTTATTGAGTGCCAGTAGTGTGAATGATTCTCTGATATACACAATGCAATGCAGGCTCAAAGAAAACAACCCCTGACCTCACGTCCCTCATGATCTAATTTGTATAATACAGATTAAAACAGTGGAGAGGTCAGTTACATGTCCGCCCAATTACTAGTGTCAGCATTAAAGGTGTAGTTCCAGGAATCAAAAGAAATGGAAGTCTGACCTAAAATCATGGACAGAATGGGACATATTTGGCCTTGGAATCCACAGCACCTCCAATCAGACAATTAAGTTCCACTGCCGATGAGAAGTCAGAAAAGTACAAATACAAAAGACTCAAGAGCACTATTCGTGATTTTTGCTATTTTGGATCTTCTGCTTTCTTCTTATTATTGTCCGTAGTCTCCTTAATACCAATTTATCAGACAGAAGCATGTCATCTTGTTGTTCGAGATAATCCAGTAGATTTTCAGTCCATTCAAGTGCAGCTTTATGACTAATATGTTTTTCTGGATTCAGTTCTGTTTTTCTGGTCTTACTGAAAGGCTTTTGCTCAGCAGGTTTGGCCTGGTCCTCAGCACCTTCACCGTCAGTTGGCCTCTGACAGCTCGAGTCATTACTCTGAGAGTCAAACCACTGGTCCATATGCTCAATGTCAGCATGGTCACAGTCTGCTGTATTCTGCAAGACCGTTGATAGATCAGCTGCTAAAATGGCTCCCTCATCAAGGTTCACACTAGCATTCTCACTGCCAGGGAAAAGTTTTTTCCATGCTTTAGTTATCGTACTTGACTTTACCATACTCCATGCTCTTGACACTTCATAAATGGCATCCAACACGGTCAAGTTCTTCCAAAACATTTTTGGGTCAATTCCTTCATCCATGTATCTCTGGAGAAGTCCTGCTCGGTAGTATCTTTTCAGTGTGGCTAGGACTCCCTGGCTCATAGGCTGAATTAGGCTGGTAACATTAGGTGGCAAATACTTGACGATAATTCTACCATCATCTGAACTCAACAGCTCTTCATGTGGATGTGCCGGGGGGAAGTCCAAAAGCAGCACTGCTTTCTCTAAAAGCCCCTTGGACTTCAAATGCTTCTGTACCTGCGGCACAAAGTATTTTTCAAACCACTGTCTGAAAACAGAATGCTCGATCCATGCCCCCTTTTGACTGAAATAAGTGACTGGAAGGTTGGAGAGGTCAGTCCCTTTAAATGCTCGGGGCTTTTTTGCTTTCCCCACAACGCAAAGATTAAGTTTGTGTAAACCTGTGGCATTTGCACAGCACATTATAATGATTCTCTCTCTGCTTGACCTGTACCCAGAACTGCTTTGCTCGGCTTCCAGAGTTACTGTCCTTGATGGGAGACATTTCCAGAACAATCCAGTATGGTCAGCACCATAAATCTGCTCTGGCTGCAGATTCTCCTTCTCAACAAATTGCTGAAAGTTACCGCAGAATTCATGGGCAGCAGTTTCATCTCCTTTTAATTTGGTTCCCTTACTGGCAGCCTTTGGAATACCGTGACGTTGCTTAAATCGAGTGAGCCAGCCAGACGAAGCATTAAAATCACCTTCCATCCCTAACGCATCAAAAAAGAACTTAGCTTGTTTGGCACAAATTGTTCCTGACACTGGAATCCCATCTGTCTTCTGTTGATTAAACCACTCTATCATAACCCTGTCAAGTTCCTCATATGTTGATGATTTCATGGATTTTCGCTTGGATACGCCACTTGTAGGGTCTGAACTGTTTGCATAGTTTATAATCCTGTCTTTGTTCTTTTTAATATCCCGAACTGTAGATTCACCAATTCCATATACCACAGAAAGTTTTTTGAAAGAGGTGCCTTCCTCGAGTTTCTTAATGATATCAAGCTTGTCTTTAATTGTCAACACCACACGCTTTCGTTTCCCCAGCATTCTAAGTCTAATCGTTTGGCAATTACTTGGACAAGGTATTTAACACCTCTGGTTGGTTTCTACTATGAGAGACCAGAAAATTGGGTCTTATGGCCCCTCTTTTCCCTCCCTGTCCCCCCAAGACCTATATGGCTAGTATGCTGGTCAATTTCCAGAAAAGTCTATGAGTCTTCACTTACTGTTTTAAAATTATTTTAAAGTCATAAAGACAGAGTGCCAGCAAAACTCAATCTAAGTGGGATCTACCAGTGCCTAGACTGTGCATGTTAGGCTCTCATACGCAGAAACTCGGGCAGAGAAGAGCCCCACAAAACAGCTAGTGCTGTTTTTAAAACAAGGACTTATTTCAATTAATCTTTCTTCCTCCTGACTTAAAGATCTTTTTCATGAACTACAATCTCACCTGTTAGAGGTGAGAACCTCCTGGTTAGAGGTGGAACCAAGACAGTCCTCCAAAATGGTCCTGCTGAATACTGACTTCTCTTCGTGGCTGCAGGTGAGCTGTTTTGTACAGCCACAAAAACTTGGGTGGGGATATTCTGGGAAATGTGCTAAGGGGGAAAAATAAAACACGGCTGCTTAATTCAAGAGGGGGCTTGCAGACTCAACATCCCAGTCCCCAACAGCCTCAGTCTGTCAGCGCACAGGATGGAATGCTGGCTCTTCGGGGCCAAGACTTACAGGTGACGCGGAAAAACGGTTATGGAAGTCAGAGGCAGAAAACCCTAACAGGTCGCACACTGATCCCAAATGTCTTTGAGGACTAAAAGGCGCAAGAGGTGGTCCAGAGGTGGTGTCACATGACCAAGCGGCAACGCAAGCATCAGAAAACTTCACTGGGGAGCAAGGACCCCTGCAGCCACCACTGGAAGGCTCAGTGAAAAGAATCGCGGCAACAGTCCGTCCTCGGGGGGCCAAGCCAAGTTCTTCCGGTGGGGTTGCAGAAGAACTCCGAGCCTCCGAAACCTACGGAAAAATACACACACATTGTTTCCCGTTTTCTCAATAGCAGGGTCTCTGACATTGGAAGGGGGAGGAGGGGCTGAACGCCTGAGATTAAGTGGAATAGCACCAACCTTCCACGTTATCGGGAATGACGGAGAGGGGAGACCTCCAATGCCTACCTCCCGAGAGGACCAGGGCAGAGAACCGGACTAGCGCGGGCCTTTCCCCGCAGGCGAGCTCCGGGGCGCGGGGCGTCGGTCCTTGTGCGGAGGGAGTCGGTTCCCAGGCTCGCGGCCGCCACGGGGTGTCAGCGCCGCTGCCGGCGGGCGAGCGAGCGGGCGCGCGGCCGCCCCCGGTGCGGGGGACGCCAGCCCGCGGCGAGGGCCTCGCTCCCCGCCCCCCGCGGGGGCCACACCGCACCGAGTAAATGGGGGCTCCCGAGGGAAGTCGAGACTCGCAACGCGAAGCAGGGGCGAGAACCGGCGAGGAGCGCGCGTCGCCGCCGGAGCCGGAAGGCGGGGGATTAGGGAGCGCGCACGCGCCCCCGAAGCGTTGTGTCGGCGCGGGGCGGGGCCTGCCCTGGCGAGCGCGCGCTCGGCTGTGGGCGGGGACTCGGGTACAGCTCCTTGCAGAGGCGCAGGGGCCGGACCGAAGTGCACCCTGCTCCCGTTCCCTGCTGCTGACAGTCCAGGAGGGGGCGGCACACGCTCGCTCCTTCCCGGCTGTTCTGCATTTTCCGGGACTCCTTCACGGCAGGCTTCCTCCACTGCCCCGCCCCCGCTCCGAGGAAATTGCACCCCCTGAGAGCTTTCAGGCATCGTTGGGGGCCTACAGCCCGCTGCGAATGGGGCAGCGCGAGCGCACGTGAAGCGTGTTTACAAACAGCAACTGCTGCTCCCTCAAGAAGGCACCCTCTACCCACGCCTCCCAGTGCCGCTTCCTGCCTCCTACCCCAAGTCCCAGCCCTGGCCCCGCCCCGGCCTGCCCTCCCTGAGCTGAGATCAGCCGGTGCAGGCAGCTGCTGGCTGCAGGCAGGCAGGCGCACCGTGAGGGTGTGGGTCAGCTCACCCAAGCCAGCCCGCCCTGGGAGAGTGAAATGCTGAAGGCCTTGCAGGGTATGGATCTGAGCAGAAAGCATCATCTGCTTCCCGTGGAGCAGCTCGTGGTTTCGAACTGCTCACCTTGTGGGTACTACCTACCCAGTACATTAACTCGCGTCGCTACCAGGGCCCTGAAGAGAATTGAAGTTTACCATAGACGCCTTTAACTGCATTCAGAGATACTTTATATTTTCAGTGGTTTAAAAGGAACGAATCCTGGCACTGCTGGTGAACCATGCCTTCCCTGCCAGGTTCCCAGACCCTGTTCCCAGCAGAGCCAGAGAACCTTCCAAAACCCTGTGTCTGATGCAGCACCTACCTGATGACCCAGAAAACAAGGCTTGCTTGCTGCCCCTGTGTCTCTCCTCCTCTCTTTGTTTTCTTCTGTATAGCAATATTTGGAAGACTGGTAAGTGCTTTTAGTACATATATCTAACGTTTCTATATAAATGTCCAACCCTTTTTATTTTACCATGAAGTAACATAGTAATTCAGCCCCTGTTTGGCAGGCTAAGTGGTGGCTAGAAGCTGTCAGAAACCCGGGGAAAGGAATCCACTTGAGCGTACAGACTGCAGGAAATAGAAAAGCATCATTTGTGTCTGTCTTGTGATGACGATCAGGCTCCCCTGCCAGAGCTGATGAAGCGCCTTCCTCAAAATCATAGCCTGTCATCATCTGGTGTGATGGAAATTACTTGAGATCATAGTGTTTTTAGTACGTACCTGTTTCCCCTGTAGTTAGACACTCCCCACCACACCACTACCCCTCCATCCCCCTCCCCTGCCCACCAATCATCAGTTCCACATAGTCCTGGTTAGTCTTTGGGTAAAATATAATTTCATGCTAGTTTTATACCACTTCAAAGCTCCCTCGTTTTTTGTGTTTTCATTTTCTCTCCTAATAATGGAGCATAAAACAGCTGTCTCCAATTGTATTATTTATTCTTCATAATGGAAGAGAGCTAACATTTACTAACTGTCAAGCATGTGTTGGCAAGGCAGCCTGTAACCAGAGCGATGCCTGGCACACACACCTCCCCCCCCCCCCACGGAGGATGTGTGGAGCTTATTGGCGTCACTCTAAATAAATAAAGATGAATCTTGCCCCTTTTCTCTCTTCCCCATTCTCCCCCAGATACCACCTGTGCTAGCATTTTATCTCCTTTTCCTCACCTTCCGTGAGTTCAAATCTGAAACACAGTCCACCCACAAGTTCCTGGATTTTCTCAATATTTAACTACAAGGCTGTTGTATTTAGCAGACGTGTGCTAAGACATTACATGAGGCAGGTTTGCCTTACATGTTTTTTTATTTTTATTTTTTTTCTAGCAGACTTTTTGATAAGGACAACTACTCACTGTCACGGAGTCAATACCTGGTAGAACTGCCTCTGAGTTTCTGAGACTGTAACTGTTTGCTGGAGTAGAAAGCCCCATCTTTCTCCTAAGAAGCAGCTACTGCTTTCGAACTGCTGACCTTGCTGATTGCAACCCAATTCATAACCACTAGCCACTGGGGCTCCTTTGGATGGGGAAGGAATCACTAATTGTAGCAGATATGTTAGCATGAGCCTGGATGGGAGCGCACAAAACCTACCACACCACACCCCTGCCATTGAGTTGTTTCTGACACATAGTGACCCAATAGGATGGAGTAGACCTTTGGGTTTCAAAGACTGTAAATCTATGTGGAGCAGTCAACTTCAGCTTGCTCCCAAGAAGTGGGGTGATGGTCGACCTAGCAGACTACTGCTTAACCCACTTCCAGGGCACCTTTCATTGGCGGCCAGGACCTAGAGGAGAGCGTCCTTAAAGTGGGGCATGCTCATTTTATGGAGAGCTCATTGACCTTTGGGAACTTTCTGTCAGTCCTTTTAACTGGTTCTTGCTTTTCCATCTCTTCTTTCCCTTCCTGTCTTGTTTTTCTTTCATCTCTGGGTTCCCCTGCTCCTCTGGGCTCAGCTACTTGTGAGAACTGATGATTCTTCTCAGTTGCATTTGCAGGGCATTTGGTACTTTCTTCTCTGATTCGCTGTGCTGACTCAGTCTCTAATCAGATGACACAACTCGAAAGGGAATTCTGCTGCCAGTTTTTCTTTCCTTCTCCATATGTAAAATCTCCCTCAATTCTTACAACAGTCCTATGAGGTAGACGTTACTCTACTTTATTTCCAAGACAATGTAGTCTAATACATAGATATGCGAATCTGTCAAAGAGTAGGTGGCAGAATGAAAACTTACACCAAGTCTTTGTGCTTTAAAACACTGCATTCTGTCCAGCTTAACAGCAAGTTCTGGTGGCAAAGTAGGTTGTTGAGGTGCTAACAGCAAGGTCAACAGTTTGAAACTACCAGCTGCTATGAGGGAGAAAGATAAGGCTTTCTACCCCAATACGATTTACAGTCTCGAAAAGTGAGAGGATAGTTCTACCCCCCTGTCCATTAGGGTCACCATGAGCAGCATCGCCTCAATGGCAATGAGATCTTTTTGCGTGTGTTTGGTCCATACTTATCACAATGGAAAAGTGACATGAGAAGAAGAAAGAGTATATTATGGTTATGTATCCAATAAAGTTGTCATTTATTAGATTGTAATATTTTGTCGTAACCTCCAAAAGGTACCCTTGTAGTGAGAGCTCTGTTTGCAGCAGTGTTGACCAGGCAGGCATGGCATTGGGTACATTGACATTTTTTTTAAATAGAAATTTTGAAAATCACTCTAAATCACTTGAAAGAAGCTGATGTTTTTCATTGTTTTACGAGTGCTTCTCTGCTGAGAGAATATCAATGCAAGTACATCATAGGGTTTTGTTAGGTTTGGGGGGTGGATGACCTCTGTTCTTCTCAACGCTGAAAGAATTCATGCGGCAGAAACACTTTTGTAAATTCCAGTAACTTTTATAAGAGAAAGGGAAGTTTCAGGTATTGCAGTCTCAGAAAGTACACGCTAGCTCTGGACAGTGTGCGGGCCAGCACAGGCACCGCCCGGGAGGTGGAGGCTGAAGATGGCCAATTCAGGAGAACGTGAGAAAACCACTGAAAAGAGCGCCTGAAGGGAGCCGCGGATGCGGAGTGCAGAGCGCAGGGAGAGGGGGCGTGGCCAAGGAGGGGGCAGCCTGAGACGGAGAGAAGCCGTGCACACCCCTGCCCCCTCCAACCTGCAAGAAAGCAAGCCCGAAACAAGAGGTGGAGTGCCATCAGTCTGCTGTTGATCTCCTCTTGTCCCCACTTGGGGGCTGGGCACGGTTGAGGGTACTGGCCGACCTTATTGGCTAAGTGTAGGCATACCTGTGTGATGTCATGTCACTGGTGCCTAGATGTGGGTGTGCTCAGGTTGGCTTCCACCAGGGCCTAGGTGGCCCAGGTGCCTATACCCAGTTCTGGATTCTCCCATAGGTGTCTAAGGCCTGATTCTTTTCCAACCCCTTGATTCTGGCAGGGCAACCCCCTTTATCTTTAATCTAGCCACCGGTCACATTCACTTTCACGGCCATCACGTTGAATATGACCAGCCATCAAGTTGGCCCCATCTCAGAGCAACCCTACAGGACAGGGTAGAACTGTCCCTGTGGGTTTCTGGGTTTCTCCTCTGACAGGAGGAGAAAGCCGCATCTTTTTCCTGTGGAGTGAGTGGCGGGTGGTTTCAAACTGTTGGTTAGTGGCCCAATGACTAACCACTATGCCAGAGTGTTCTTCACACCTAATGGTCTTGTAGTAAGTAGGGTATGTCTACGACAAGCACTGCTGTCAGGTCCCATGTCAGCTCACTCACAGCCAGCCTGTTGAAAAAGCAGGGCTGCCTCAGCGGGTTGTTAAAAAGCAGACTATCATCTCTTTCACGTGGGAACAACCGGTGGTTTCCAACCACCAGCCTTATAGTTTGCAGTCAAGCACTTAACCCATGGTGTCACCAGGATGCCAGGTAAGGTGACCAGACATCCTGCTTTTGGCGAGACAGTCCCGATTTTTAACAATTTTTCCTGGTCCCGCAGCATTTCAAAAAAGTCCCGATTTTTGGAAAGAATGCACGACAAGCTAGGGTATACGGTTATGGGCTGCCATGTAGCTATTTCGCCAAGATACGAGTTTTATCAATGGTGTCCCGCTTTTGTCCCGCTTTACCAATGTTAAAATCTGGTCACCTGACAGCTTTA